GCTCCTGTGGAGAGAGTGGCTCCCGCCGAGACGAAGCACCCGGAGAACCTCCAGGCTCAGCACCGCCAGACGCCACACGAGCAGGCCCAGCTCCCTCAGGCTCCGCACCCCCAGGCTCAGCACCTCCAGGCGTAGCACCCCCAGGCGTAGCACTCCCAGGCTCAGCACCCCCAGGCTCAGCACCCCCAGTAGTAGCACCCCCAGGCTCAGCACCCTCAGGCTCAGCACCCCCAGTAGTAGCACCCTCAGGCTCAGCACCCCCAGGCGTAGCACCCACACGCTCAGCACCCCCAGAGTCAGCACCCCCAGGCTCAGCACCCTCAGCAGCACCAGAGTCACCAGTAACCTCGACAGGCTCGACTGCGTCTACCTGGGACACACCTGAAGGGGCAGGACCCTGAGGGGGGAGGGGGTCTACCGGGGGGGGACCTGGGACAAGGAAGAGCGGTGGCGGGGGGAGGGACGGAGTGCGGTAGGGGAAGAGGCGGTAGTAGGGGACCGACTCGTCAAACGTGACGTCCTGGGAGGACAGGACACGGCGAGAGGTGGGGTGGTAGAACTGCCACCCTGGCGCGTCAGGGGGGAAGCCAAGGAAGACGCAAGGAGCAGCACGAGGGGACAGCTTGTCCGCAGACAAGTCGCGGACAAACGCCCGAGATCCCCAGACACGGAACGCAGACGCATCGCCAACCTTCCCCGTCCACAGCAAAGCTGGGGAGGTCTCCGGCATGGAGACCCTGGGGTGAAGGTTGATCTGATGCGCCGCGTACCGAACCGCAAACGGCCACAGAAAATGGGGGGCAGCCGCATGCATCATGGACGTACGGGCGACGTCCATGACCATGCCAATGCGGCGCTCAGCAATCCCATTTTGCTGTGGAGAGTCCGGAAGCGTGAAGGTCTGGCGGATGCCTCGTGCACGACAGTAGGCTCGCAGAAGGCCAGAGGAGAACTCTCCACCTCTGTCAGAGTGCAGACGCTGAACAGGAAAGTCCGAGCCGAAGCTCTGCCTGAGCTGGAGACGAGCTACGCGGATCCAGTCGATCAACACCTCAGTGACATCACCCTTGCTGCGCAAGGGGAAGACTGTGGTGTAATGCGAGTAGTCGTCAACCACCAGCAGGAAGTAGCGCTCGTGACCCTGTCCACGGACGCGGGCCGGGCCCCACACGTCCATGTGAAGCGTCTGCAGCGGGGCCTCTGTCGGAGGAAACTGGGAGGAGTGAGGGGCAGCCCGCTGCCGCCCCTCGACACAGGGGACGCAGGTAGGGCCAGGCCCCGGAGGAAGGGGAGGGAGGGACCGGGGAAGACCAGAGACAAGGACACGGGAGGCCATGCTTCGGAGACGAAGCAGGGAGGGGTGACCAAGGCGGTGGTGCCAGAGGAGAGTCTCGTGAGACAGGAGGCGACACGAACAGGGGGCAGACTCAGGACCAGACCTGGACGCTGCAGCAAACACCTGACCCGACGCAGCTACCTGACCAGACGCAGTGACTGGAGGAGACGCAGTGGTCAGGGTGTACAGGCTCGACCCCGGCCGACGGGTAAACGTGGCCAGGTGTCGGCCTGTCCGAGCGTCCGTGCAGTGGGTCACCCGCCGACTCGCAGGAGTGAATCGGTGAACCCCCGCATCCTGTAGGTCAACACCACTCACCAAGTTCGTAGAGAACGAGGGAAGATAAAGACCAGACAGGGTGCCAGAGGGGGCCGCCGGACACGGGAGGACAGTGGAGAAGTGAGCAAGGACAGGACCCCCAGAGGGGTCTGCCAGAGAGACTGCAACTGGCCGGCTAAGCGGCGTGAGTGTGGTGCGGTCTCGAAAGAAGGAGCGAGAAGCCCCCGAGTCAAGGGTGAAGGTGTGGGAGGCCGAAGCCGACGCAGAACCTGAGAGAGCAGACTCACCAGCACCTGAGGGAGCAGACGCACCTAGAGCAGCAGCCTCGCTAGCACCTAGAGCAGCAGCCTCACCAGTACCTAGAGCAGCAGTCTCAATGCCCGGGTCGGGCGGAAAACACCGGTAACAGTCACCCTCATCACTAATAGTCACAGTATACATGGCAGCAAGAATAGCATCAAAGTCAAGGTCAAAGACAGCCACACCCGCCCTAGACAGCTCACCCCAGCGGGGGATCTCAGTGGCCTCAGGGAACTGGTGACGCCAAGCGTCCGTCAGGCGGCCAAAGCAGCGCTGGGTGGAGTGCGCACCCCCGCACTGCTCACCCGCGCGGTCGCCGGTGCGGAGGACGTAGGTGCACGGACCAGTACCCCCACCCCTCTGGCGTGCAGTGTACCACTCACGGAGCTGCTGAGGGGAGGGGATGTCACGAGTGCGCTGCTGATGCTGCTGCTGCTGCTGGCGCTGACCACCACCGGAGCCGACCCTCTGCGCAGCGCCACCCCGACCAGCTCCACCTCCTCCGCCGCCTCCTCCTCCACCGCCGCCACCTCCGCTCCCTCCGCCACTGCCGCTGCCGCCTCCGCCTCCACTGCCGCCACCGACACCTCCACCCCCGCCACCACCCCCACCGCCACCCCCACCTCCTCCACCGCCTCCACTGCCGCCTCCACCGCCCCCGCTAGCTCCTCCAGCGCCCCTGCCCCCCTTGCCCTTGCTAGGGCGGCGTCTCCCGCTAGGGGTAGACGCCGCACCGACCGACTCAAGCCCAACGAGGTCGGCCGCAGCAGCAGAGGCAACAGAGGGCAAAAGGGGGGAGGGGGAACACCCCTCAAAGATGGGGGTGCGAGGGTCACCACGAGAGGCTCCTACAGCTACTATGCTCTTCTCTGCTGCTAGGAGGGACTTCTCGAGGAGGTCAACGGTGAGAGTGGTGGGGCAAACTGAGAGGAAGTGGTCCCTGACTACGCGAAGGGAGTCAGGGAGCCGGGTGACTATGTAGTAGAGGGTGATGTACATGGGGGGGGGGGGTTCTTGGCGCAGAACTCAGCAGGAAGCGCAGCGCGGTAGCGAGTGTCACTAGTGCGTAGGTGCGTAATGAGGTCAGCGACTGTGGGAAAGGCAGCAAGGTCAGGGAAGAGGTACGGTAGCATGAGGCGACTCAGTGCAGCAGTGGCAGGGGAGGAGTAGCGTGCAACTACAGCGTCGTACAAGGTCTGAGCACTCTTGTACTGGCTAAAGTGCGCACGCTCAGAGGTAGGCAGGTGGCGACGCACAGCAAGACGTGCAGCAGCATCGCGCGTGGCCCACTGGGAGCGAACAGTTGCGTCAGCATCAGTGGCGGGGGCAGGAGAGGCACCAGAAGTGAGGTCAAAGAGGGAGAGGCCGTCTGCCCTATCGCACTGTAAGAAAAGCTGCAGGTCATCTATCCAGACGTCAAAGTCAATGGCCCGACCCTCAACGTCAAAAGCGAGAACACTAGGGGTAGCCATGACAGCAGTAGACTAGCAGCGCAAACAGTGGGGTGAGGGCAGTGCTGTGAGAGAGGCGCTGCTCTTACCGGACAGGGCGGCTCGGGCGGCTCGGCTGCAGGGCGGCTCGGCGACTCGGCTGCTGGGCGGCTCGGCTGCTGGGCGGCTCAGCGGCTCGGCTGCTGGGCAGCTCGGCGGCTCTGCTGCTGGGCGGCTCGGCTGCTGGGCGGCTCGGCGGCTCGGCTGCTGGGCGGCTCGGTGGCTCAGCTGCTGGGCGGCTAGGCTGCTGGGCGGCTCGGTGGGGCCGCTGAGAGGGCGGCGTCCGGGGCCGCTGGGAGGAGGCGGCGGGGCCGCTGAGAGGAGGCGGCGTGGCCGGAAAGGTAGGTGGCGGGGCCGCGTCAGGGGCCGCGACAGGGGCCGCGTCAGGGGCCGCGTCAGGGGCCGCGGCAGGGGCCGCGTCAGGGGCCGCGGCAGGGCCGCGTCAGGGCGCCGCGTCAGGGGCCGCGTCAGGGCGCCGCCAGGGGCCGCGGCAGGGGCCGCGTCAGGGCCGCGTCAGGGCCGCGGCAGAGCCGCGTCAGGGCCGCGTCAGGGGCCGCTTCAGGGCCGCGGCAGGGGCCGCAGCAGGCCGCGTCAGGGCCGCGTCAGGGGCCGCGGCAGGGCCGCGTCAGGGCCGCGGCAGGGGCCGCGTCAGGGCGCCGCGTCAGGGGCCGCGTCAGGGCGCCGCCAGGGGCCGCGGCAGGGCCGCGTCAGGGCCGCGTCAGGGCCGCGGCAGAGCCGTGTCAGGGCCGCGTCAGGGGCCGCTTCAGGGCCGCGGCAGGGGCCGCGGCAGGCCGCGTCAGGGCCGCGTCAGGGGCCACGGCAGGGCCGCGTCAGGGCGCCGCCAGGGGCCGCGTCAGGCCGCGTCAGGGCCGCGTCAGGGCGCCACCAGGGGGCGCGTCAGGGGCCGCGATAGGGCGCCGGCAGGGGCCTCGTCAGGGCGCCGCCAGGGGCCGCATAGGGGGCGCGTGGGAGGCGGCGTAGGGGCCGCGTAGGGGCAGCGTAGGGGCCGCTAAAAAAAAAAATTTAGGGCAGGGCGCAATGTGCGCGGGCGGCTAAATAAAAAAAAATTTTCTTATGGTGGGCCCTTAGGAAGGAACGGTCCCATGTAGGAACCCGCTCTATACCATGTGAATCAAGAAAACAGGAATGAAATGACTAAGTGAAAGTTGGGTACAAAAGGCAAACCCTAGGCAACTGTACCCCATATGTGCTACCCCACTATAGCCTACAGTAGCTATGTCATATAACTCTGACACCAGGAACGTGCGACGCGAGGTTCATGGTGGTTCGGATTGGCCCGAACGCGCGGCAGGCTTGCGTATGGGAAATGTCGACCGCTCTGCGGCCCTACCAAATTCAGAGAGCTTGCGGCTCTAGCATGCGGCTGGGCGCGCACACGAACGAGGGTGGCGCCTCAGGGGGCATGCGGCAGTGGGAACGGACCGGCGGCTCAGAAGGGCTTTGCGGGATGCACCAAGCGTCTCAGCTGCGCTGAGTCGCTCACACTATACGCTCACAGACGATTCGCTCGGTCAGACACACGTCGTTCCGCTGATAGGTGCATTGTGTTCCTGTCCGTAAGCCGTCGTGAGGCGATGATTGAGTCGACTCGGAATATCAAATCAGCTTCGGACACACAGGAAGCCGCTGTGACGCGATTTCGTGTGGACTCGGGAATCAAATCAGCTACTGTATTGGACAGGAATCGTTGCGAGGCCAGGAAGCAGTAGCAGGGTGGAAGGGCGGGGCGTGAATGCGCACTGCGTGGGGGGGAGGCGCGTGAGTGCGCGCTGCGTGGGGGGGAGGCGTGTGCTGGGTAGGCGCGTGAGTGCGCGCTGCGAAGGGGGGAGGCGCGGGGAGGGGGAAGCGCGTGATTGTGCACTGCGCGCCGCTGCAGGAGCAAGGGGGGGGGCGGCGGAGGAGCAGGAAGCGCCAAGGACAGGGAGTGCGGGAAAGCTCAGATAGGGGCAGGGCAAGAGGGCGGGGCGGCAGCAGCCTGCCTGAAGCAGAGCCGAGGAGTGGGGATGGGTGGGCGTTGGTGGGGAGCGGTGGTGGGACGCCTAAGTCTCATGCAGCGAAGCAAGTCGCCCCTGAGGTACAGCCACAGCCGCAATCCCTGGCTGGGTGGGCGGGCTGGGGGAGCCAAGGGGGTTGCGGGGACGGAGGGGTTTGGGGGGGCGGGCCGATGGGCGCACCAGGGGGTGTGCGGGCGGGGGGAGTTGCGCCAGGCAGGGGAGGGGGGTGGGGGTCGCTGCTGGCTGTCTGTGCTGCAGGGGCGGCTGGGTGTGCGGTGATGGAGTTGGGGGTGGAAAAGGGGAAAGAAGCTGCTGGCGTGATGGCGGATGCATGGAGGCATCTGCACGGGGATTGGCTGCTGCTACGGGTGGAGTGTGCTGACATGGCTGGTCTTAGTGCTAGTATCAAATCCGATGATAGCGGATCAGTCTTGAATAACCGTGAATCTGGTGGTGCAGTTGGTGCAGGTGGTGGGAATCAGAGCAACGGGAGCAACAGCAGCGTTGTTTCACACACCAGCAGTGAAATTGCTGGTGGCAAGTCCAGTGATGGCGCTGTGAGCAGAAAGCGAGTGGTGGTGCTGGGGTCGGGGTGGGGCGCAGTGAGCTTCCTTAAAGCCATAGACACGCATGGGTATGATGTGACGCTCATCTCACCCCGCAACTTCTTCCTCTTCACGCCGCTGCTGCCAAGTGTCACCACGGGAGTGGTCGAGGGCAGGAGCATCGCCGAGCCAATCAGGCGCATCCTGTTGAGGGTGAGTGTCTAGTTAAGTGCTCGCAACTAATTATCACCGATGGTACGCTTAAATGGTTCTTTTGGTAAGCGTATGTAGTGAACTGGCTGCTCTCCCTTCCTTCACTCTGCATCCCTCCCTGCTGGCAGCTCGGCAGCTCAGCTCGCTTCCTCGAGGCGGAGTGCATGGGCATTGACTCTTCATTCGAGCTGCAATTGGCTGTTCTCCCCACCCACCCTGCCCTTATACCAGACACGCGCCTCCAAGGCCCTCTCCTGCCACGCCCCTGTTGCCCTGCCCGCTGCCAGCCTGCCCCGCTTACACGCCCGCTTTCATCCGTCCTCCCCCAAACCCCCTCTCCCCTAGCAGCACGGCAGCTCAGCATGCTTCCTCGAAGCTGAGTGCATGGCCATCGACCCCGCCTCCAGGACCCTCTCCTGCCGCGCCCCTGCTGCCCTGCCCGCTCCGCTGCCAATGCCGACTGTGGCAAAGGTTGGAGGTCAGGAGGAGGGTGACGGGGAGACGACACGAGGAGGAGCTGAAAGAAAATGTGGTGGCGCTGTTGATGGAAACGTAGCTGCTGCTGGGGGTAACACGGAAGGAGGTGGCGGCGAGAGTGGCGGCGAGAGTGGCGGCGGGTGTGGCGGGGCGAGGGAGGTGCGCTTCACAGTGCCGTACGACATGCTGGTGGTGGCCGTGGGAGCCGTCCCCAACACGTTTGATGTTCCTGGCGTGCAGCAGCACTGCCATTTCTTAAAGGCAAGTACTGGGCTCCAAGCACGGGGCACTGGGGCACTGTGAAAGCACTCTGGCTCTAGGTGAGGGAGGTGCGCTTCACAGTGCCGTATGACATGCTGGTGGTGGCCGTGGGGGCCGTGCCCAACACGTTCAATGTTCCTGGCATGCAGCAGCACTGCCACTTCCTCAAGGTGAGCACTGTGGCACTGGGCACCGGAAGCACCAAGTCCCTTGCCCTTCTCCCCCCATCTCTTCCCCGCATGCCTTCCCCCCGTCCCTTCCCCCATCCCTTCCCCCCATTCCCTCTCCCCATCCCTTCCAACCATCCAGTCCCCTCATCCTTTTCCCCCATCCCTTCCCCCATCCCTTCCCCCCATCTCTTCCTCCCATCCCTTCTCCCCATCTCTTCCCCCCACCCTTTCCCCCCCATCCCCTTCCCCCCATCCATCCCTTCCAACCATACCGTCCCTCCATCCCTTTCCCCCATCCCGTCCCCCCATCCCGGTCCCCGCATGTCGTCTCCCCCATCTCTCATCCCATCCCACTGCGCACCATCAGTCGCTGGACGATGCCGATGCCATCAGGTCTTATACCCCCATCTCTCCCCCCCCCTCACCCTCTCTCACTTCCCCCCATCTCTCCGCCACACCACTACCTCTCCCTCTGCCAGTCGCTGGATGTTGCAGATGGCATCAGTAACAATACTTTGAGCTTTGACCGCTCATCGACCGCTTTGATGCAGCCCCCCTTCAACCCCTATCCCCTTTTCCCCTTCTCGTTCCCCCCATCCCGTTCCCCCCATCCCTCTCCCCCATCCCCCTTCCCCCATCCAGTTCCCCCCATCTCTCCCCTCGATGTCACTGCACACCTATTTCTCCCCCCACCACCTCTCTCTCTGCCAGTCACTGGACAATGCAGAGGCCATCAGAAACACGCGCATTGACCGCTGCGAGGCAGGTGCCTTTATCCCCCATCCCTCTTCCCCCCGTCTCCCCCCCCTCCCCCCGCCCAACTCCTTTCTCCCCGTGCCAGTCGCTGGACGATGCAGAGGCCATCAGAAACACGCTCATCGACTGCTTTGAGGAGGCGTGCCTGCCGGGAATAGAAGCAGACGAGCAACAGAGGTAACTGTAAGGACTAACGGAGGCAACTAGGCATGGGCATCTGGCCCGACCCGGCCCGACCCGTCCCGTTTAGGGCGACCCGTTAGCTTAACGGGTCGGGTCGGGTCGGGTCAGCGGGTTGGGTTTGACTCTGTTTTGGTGACCCGACCCGCCCCGTTGGAACGGGTATTTGTGACCCGTAACCGGGTCGGTTAAACCACGGGTCGGGTCGGGTCGGATCATAATATGCTACATAGCAGCAGGGTATGGGGGTTAGGTCTGAATTGCTACATTGTAAACTACATGTGTGTGGCCGCGATCGCGCTGCCCTAATGCGGTGCCGCGATCGCGCATATGCGGGGCTGCGATCGCGCTGCGCAAATGCGGGGCCGAGATCGCGCTATTGCGGGGACACGATCCCGCCAATGCGTGGCCGTGATCCTGCCAATGCGTGGCCGCGAGCGCGCTGCTGCGCCCCTGGTCGTGCGACGCTGCGTAATGGCAGGAGCGCCTATGCCTATAATGAATATAAATATTCAAATAGTGCTAACATTGAAGTGAAGACTGTAAGAGTCTTGGTAGGTGCAGTGCAGATTTACTAGCTTGATATAGTCTAGAGACTGGATCTGAATGTCGAGGGAAACAAAACATCAAAACCAACTGATGTTCTCCCCCTCTCCAAAGTGTACCCTAATCAGAGAACGGGTCAGGTAACCCTGTCATTTGACTGGGTATGCGACCCGGACGGGACGGGTCCACCCGACCCGGCGGGTCGCTGATACCCGTGTATAAATCACATTGACGGGTCACGGGTCGACCCGACCCGCCCGGGTCAACCCGACCCGACCCGGACGGGTCGACATTCTCAGCATTCCTGACCCGACCCGCCCTTTTGGGCGGGTCGGGTCGGGTAACCCGACCCGTCCGGGCCAAATGCCCATCCCTAGAGGCAACTGTAAGGACTAACAGAGGTAACTGTAAGGACTAACAGAGGTAACCGCTAGGAGTAACAGAGCTAACCGCTAGGAGTAACACAGGTAACCGCTAGGAGTAACACAGGTAACCGCTAGGAGTAACACAGGTAACTGCTAGGAGTAACACAGGTAACCGCTCGGAGTAACACAGGTAACCGCTAGGAGTAACACAGGTAACCGCTAGGAGTAACACAGGTAACCGCTAAAAGCAGCAGAGGTAGCAAACACCACCTGATCTTGTTATAGTCACAATAGGCTTGAATGTGCCTAAAACGAAAGATAGAGAGCACAGACGGATTTCTGCACAGCGGCTTCAAACGTTGATAGCGTTCTGCTCACAGCTGCAAATGACTTGATTCAAATTGGATCTGGAGCGTCTTCACGTCGTCTACAATTAGCAATTTAGATTGCACGATTTGATAAAGAATTGACGACACAGCGTCAGTTTGAACGAACGGTACTATGGCAGCCACTATAGTCTTAGAACACAAGATAGGAAGAGTTACGAGTTGGGAATGACTCCCAGCTCCTACAAACCCCAAGAGCCGAGGTACAGTGATGTGGAACAGTGCCACACTGTCCCCAACCACGAAGGGTCTCGAAACTACCCTTCACTAGGGCCTACACCAAGTGAAATGTTACACTACACAAAGTAATGTAACTATCTTCAATATCTTGAGGTGTACCCTTTTGGCAAGCTTCGAAATCACTTGAGGCTTGACACCAAGGCTCGGGCTCTTCATCACAAACTCATCCTTGAGTTCTTGATGGGTCTGCTGCACACACCTGCGACACGCCGAACGTTCGACACAGGACAAAATAGAAACCGCGCACGACAAAATAGAAACCGCGCGCGAGACACAAACGACCGCGTAACACGCGTCTAGCGATAACTCGCTATTGACTCGACACACACACTCGGCATCATGACTCAACATTCACACACAATTATAAGCATGAAATATATATTATCCCATGCCCTCATACCATTCCATACACACACACATTCACGCACACGGACAACAAGCCGAGTGCAAACCGTAGGGTTGCACCAACAAACTCCCCCTCGGATTGTTGGCCTTAGGATATGTTGCTCTCTCAGTTCAGAGCCATCCCAGCCAGCTTGCAACACTTCCAATGCTGCTGCTCCACCAGCCTCTTGGTCATCATGTCAGCCGGCTGCCCCGTGGTCTTCACGTAGCGCAACTCAACTTCACCCGCGGTTACCATGCTCCTCGTCCAATGCCACTTCACCCTCATGTGCTTCGTGAGTCCATGCAACACAGGGTTCTTAGCAAGAGCAATGGCACCCTGGCTGTCACAGTACAGTGGGGTAGGTCCTTGCTGCTCCTCCCCCAATTCAGCCAACAAACGCCGCTGCCACACAATCTCCCGTACGGCACGGAAGAGTGCCATGTACTCGGACTCCACCGAGCTCAAAGCTTGGTCAACCTGCTTCTTGCTCTCCCAAGCAGTTGGGCCTCCACCAACACAGCATATGAAGCCTCCCACACTTGTCATGTCCTCTGGTTCTGATGCATATGAAGCATCCGAGTAGGCGGTGAGGAACAAACGCCCGGGTTCAACACCATCCGCGCCCTTTTGGCGCCTTTGTGCCGCCGCCGAGTATTGCAGCCCAACGGTCGGTGTTTGGCCAAGATACTTGGCCACCCTCATTCCAGCTGCTACCTGCTCCTCATTAGGGCATTGCACAACCCTAGCCAGCTGCCCGGTAGCAAACGCGACGTCCGGTCGGGTGTTTACCGCCGCATACATGAGGCTGCCCACCAACGAGTGAAATCGGCGCCTCTCCTCTTCACCAACGCTCTCCTCCTCTGGTCCCTTCACACACTTGAACCCAGAGGGAAAGGGTGTAGCCACATGGCCTTCACTCTGCCCAAAGTTGGCAGCCAATGCCTCCAGGTACTTTCGTTGATGCACCCGCATGCACCGCTTCTCCACATCTCGTTCGATGTGGAGCCCAAGGTAGAAGCTCACGTCACCAAGGGCCTTGCACTTGAACTTGTCTTGAAGCTTCAGCATCACCTCCTTCACAAGGTCAGAAGAGGGTGAGAAAATGAGGATGTCATCCACATAAACCACCATGAAACTCCTCTGCTCCCCCTCGCCAAGCATGAACAAGGAGTGATCGGCCGTTGAGGGAGTGAAGCCGATCCCCTCCAACACTTCGCGCAGCTTCATGTACCATTGCCTAGGGGCCTGCTTCAGCCCATAGAGGGCCTTTTTCAGCTTCCACACTCTGCCACTACCATCATCAAACCCCTCTGGCTGCGCCATAAAAATCTCCTCCTCAAGGATGCCATTAAGGAATGCCGTTACGATGTCCATTTGCTTTACTACCCATCCTTTGATGGCGGCTCCCGCGAATAGGGTTCGCAGCGTCGTCGGCTTCACCACAGGGGCAAACAGCTCCTTGAAGTCCACCTTCTCCTTCTGCTGGTACCCCTTGGCTACAAGCCTAGACTTGTAGCGCTCGATCTTGCCGTCGGCATCCGACTTGATTTTGAAGAGCCACTTGGACGTTATCGCCGTACGCCCCTCCGGTAGCTCCACCAATTCAAACGTGTCATTCTCCTCGATGCTCTTCAGCTCACTCTCCATGGCCTTCTTCCACTCCTCAGCATCACTACTCTCCAAAGCCTCCTTGAGAGTTGCTGGTTCTCCTGGCATCTCCACCGGAGAGAAGAACGCGAAGGCACACTCCTCGTAGTCACTCTCCTCGTCGTCTCCGACCATCATTGCCGCTCCGGCCAGGGCTGTCTTGCCCTGCTTTCCCGGCGCATCATAGGTCAGCCTATTAGGGGGTTGAACTCTCCTCTTCCCCCTTCCTTCCTCCTCAGCTGCAGGGACTTGAAGGCCTTGGCGTTGCTGCGGTGTGGCTCGAATCCGTGGAGCACTCGTAGTACGGGAAGGGAGTGACGGTGCACGCTCGCTCACTTGCTGCACCTCCTCCGTTTCTTCCTCTGCATCATTGGCCTCCTCTCCCCCATTCACAAGGGAGGATTGCCTTGTGGTTGTGCTGCCGCTGCTCAGCTCCAAAGGCAGCTCCACATGCTCCAAACCGGAACTCTTCACCTCCCCAAACCGCACGCCTATCTTCGCCTCATTCTCCGCCTTCCAATCCTTGTACATGAAGTTCTCCATGAACTTGCAGTCCCTGCTCACCAAGAACTTCTTGGTGAATGGGTCCCAAAGAAGCCATCCCTTGCTGTTTTGAGCCATGCCCAAGTGCACGGCCCACACCGCCTTGGCACCAAGCTTGTTGTGCCGAAGATGCTTAGGCACGAGCGCCATGCACATGCACCCGAACACCCTAAGCATATCCACCTTTGGCTTCCTTCCTAGCCACTCCACATAGGGCACCCATTTGTCTGCTCCCACATGAGTCAAGGCTCTGTTCTTGGCCACACACGCGCTCCGCACCGCATCAGGCCAGAAATAGTCGGGTAGCCCGGCTTCAATGAGCAACCCGCGTGCCGCCTCCGTGATTGTGCGGTTCGCTCGCTCGGCGATGCCGTTCATTGCAGGGGAGTATGGCATGGTGAGGGAGTGCCGAATACCATTCTTCTTCAGCCACAACCCAAACTCCTTGCTCAGGAACTCTCCCCCTCGATCGGTGCGGATTGACTTGACTAGACGGTCTTGTTGCCGCTCCACCATCGGGAACCAATCCGTCTTCAACGTTTCAGCCACGTCGCTCTTCTTGGCCAGCACGTACACCCAAGTCATGCGGGTGTAGACGTCGACAATGGTGAGAAAATACTCAGCTCCAGCAGCTCCAAGCTTCAGGGGGCCCACCACGTCCATCACCACCTCATCAAGCGGTGCCTTTGCCGTTGCCTCCGAACTAGGGAACGGAAACCGGGTGAACTTGGCTTGAATGCACGTCGGGCAGCCAAGCACCTCATCGGGCTCCCCCTTCACACGTATGCCAGCAACCATCTCATTCTTCACTAGCTGCTGCAAGATGGGCAGGGCCACATGCCCCATGCGCCGATGCAAGGTGAGCCAATCACACTCCCCCGTAGCCGAAGTTGGATTGGAGAATGCCGCGCTCGCAATAGCGCCCCACATACTCTCTCCGTAGTCCTCCTCCGCTGCTGCCTCTGGGTTCTCCTCACCCTTTTGCTGCTCCTTGGTTGCTGCACCACTCTCATTCAAGTCAAGGAACAGCTCATTCAAGTCAAGGAACAGCTCATTGAAGTCAAGGAACAGCTCATTCAAGTCAAGGAACAGCTCATTCATGTCAAGGAACAGCTCATTCAAGTCAAGGAACAGCTCATTCAAGTCAAGGAAAAGCTCATTCAAGTCAAGGAAAAGCTCATTCAAGTCAAGGAACAGCTCATTCAAGTCAAGGAACAGCTCATTCAAGTCAAGGAACAGCTCATTCAAGTCAAGGAAAAGCTCATTCAAGTCAAGGAACAGCTCATTCAAGTCAAGGAACAGCTCATTCAAGTCAAGGAACAGCTCATTCAAGTCAAGGAAAAGCTCATTCAAGTCAAGGAACAGCTCATTCAAGTCAAGGAACAGCTCATTCAAGTCAAGGAACAGCTCATTCAAGTCAAGGGCTCATTCAAGTCAAGGAACAGCTCATTCAAGTCAAGGAACAGCTCATTCAAGTCAAGGAACAGCTCATTCAGGTCCACCAAGGCGGCCTCCCTTTCCCTATCTTGTGCCTCTCTCCCGAGACCAAGACCACCCTCTGAGCTCTCATGCTATAGCATGATGGAGATGTAGGGTGATGGATTGGGGGGGTGGGGTGCAAGGGGTGCAGGGGGAGGGGACAATTTCAAGAGGGGGCTGTAGACTCATACTTTGGTGGCATTAGTTGAATCTCTACCAATCTGCCCTCCACCCACATCCTATCCTCCTCCCACTTCCACACCCCATTCTCTCCACTCCCCTCTCCCGCCCGGCTCCCCCTCCCCTCGTCCTGTTGCCCGGTTTCCAATGCCCTCACGGATGGGCTTTGTCGGGATGCATTGCATGGGGACAGCAAGGCAGGAGCACCAGCAGGCTCAGCGGCGCGGGGGAACGAGGGGGGCGAGCAGCAGGCGTGCGAGGGCAGGGGGCTGTCTCTAGAGCAGTTTGAGGTGGTGCTGCGGCGAGTGGAGGGGCAGATGAAGACCCTGCCCGCCACGGCACAGGTGGCGGCGCAGCAGGGGCAGTACGTGGCGCGCTGCTTTAACCGCCTGCTGGACCCTGCTTTAACCGCCTGCTGGACCCTGCTTTAACCGCCTGCTGGACCCTGCTTTAACCGCATGCTGGCCCTGCTTTAACCGCCTGCTGGACCCTGCTTTAACCGCCTGCTGGACCCTGCTTTAACCGCATGCTGGACCCGGGGTTGACGCCCGAAGGGCCGCACAGGCTGCGAGGGGAGGGCAGGCACCTGCTGCAGCCGTTCCGGTTAGTGGAATGGGGTGGGTGGTAGGGTTGGTGGTGAGATGGGATGGCGCAGCAGGGGCAGTACGTGGCTCGCTGCTTCAACCGCCTGCTGGACCCGGCTTTAGCGCCCGAGGGGCCGCCCTAGCTGCGAGGTGAAGGCAGGCACCTGCTGCAGCCTTTCCAGTGAGTGGAAGGGTGGGATGGGTGGTGGGATGGGATGTGGTGGAGCTGGTTTCGATTATTGTTATTGTTATTATCATTACTACTATTTTTATTATCATTATTACTCTTGTTATTTTTTCCATGAATGTTTATTAATATTACATTCAGTCTTATGGACGTTTCTTAGTGTTCATCAACGCTCTTCGGAATCAGGTTCAATTGGAAAAGGAAGCAAGAGGGAGTGGTACTGGCGGCCTTTCCGACAGAATTCTGACAATCTGCCAATCGCTCACGCATCTACCTGACCAATGCTTTATCTGTTTCATCTGCCCTCTTTATCCGAACTGCTCGATCTGTGCTGATTGTTTCTCACCCTCCCGCCCCCCTCCCTCCACGCATCCAGCTACGTGCATTTGGGGCAGTTCGCCCCGCTGGGTTCGGAGACCACAGCAGCAGAGCTGCCTATCTATCCCAAGTGCTCTCTTTGTGCCAATTGCTTGTCACCCTGCCCCCCGACATGCATCCAGCTATGTGCATTTGGGGCAGTTCGCCCCGCTGGGGTCAGAAACCACGGCTGCAACTTCTGTGACGTCTGACAACTCCCCTCTGCCCCTCCCCCCTCTCCCTCCGCCCTCCACCACACAACCAGCTACGTGCATTTGGGGCAGTTCGCCCCTCTCGGGTCGGAGACCACAGCAGCGGAGCTGCCGGGCGACTGGGTCAGCATTGGCAGGTGCACACAATGGCTCTGGTACTCCGTGTATGCCAGGTGGGTGTGCTGTGCAGTATGGGGGCATGCATGTGCTTTGATTGGAGGTCCACGCAGTGGCTCTGGTACTGCGTGTACGCCAGGTGGGTGTGCTGATGATGACGTGTGAGTTGACCGCTCTGGTACTCCGTCTACGCCAGGTGGGTGTGTTGTCCAATACTCTGTGTACGCACGCACGTAGGTGTGCTGTGCAGCTTGGGTGCATGCATTCCTGTGCTTGGGTAAGAGACTCATGAAATGTGGAGCTGCCTGGCGACTGGGTCAGCATAGCGTTGGCAGGTCCACACAGTGGCTCTGGTACTCTGTCTACGCCGGGTGGGTGTGCTGTGTATTAAGGGAGCATGCATTCATATGCGTGGACTGGAGTCTCTTAATCCTAGCAGCAGAAATGCCGCAGCACCTCACTTACCTATGTTTCCCCGTGTCTCATTGTCCTTGCAGTAAGCAAGTCAGTGCGAGTTCAAGAGCCCTGGTGGTGTTTGATTGGATCAAATCGGCTCTGTTTGGCCGTGATTCAAGTCGCATGTGAATACCGTACTTGCTTGATACTTTAGTTTGATTGGTTGGTTAATACTTCGCTGGTACTTGCTAGCTGTATGGGGTAAACCCTGCACTTGCGTTTGTTGCTCAATTGTTTGGCAAGCAAGTGTTATATTGTGAACGCATCCTCATACGGTACGTAACGTAGTAACTGGTGAGCCCGAAACAAACAAGGTGTAGTCCAGTTTGGTATTTGACATGGTACCCAACCCAACCAACTAGTTCCTTGGTTGTTACAACAGAAGGGATTGCATAACGCAATCACGATCGCGTACATCTCACAATACTGAGCAGACACACTCGATGGCCTCACATGGTGGTGGCATAACAAGAATCACTGTGGAAGCATGCATGGATGGACTGCACGGCATCTGTCCGATGCACATGAAAACCATCTACAACTACAGCCCATCCTCTCATGCACTGCACATGAATGCATTTCCCTAAAATGCATCCACCTGCTCTATCCGAACACTGGTATCCCAAACTCACTAGCAAGCAAGCAAGCATCCTAGCCGCCAGCCGGCATGCACGGTCATACAAGAGTGTCAATGAGAGAGGCGCGCATTTCATGCACCACGCTGGGAGCCACGCTCTCTCGCAGCTTGAACACGCTGTCAATCACCGACAGCTCCGTCGCTGTTGTGTCAAACCCTGCAAATGCCGCCCAGTCGTTTGCGACCAGCCCAGCCCCGACCACCTCACTGCCGCGGTTCACTGTGCCGGCCACCAGCGGCACTTGTAGCAGCGATGACAGCTCGTCGAGGTCTTCAACTGATGTTTGCGGGTGCACCTGGTGGTGGAAAGGTAGTGGTCGCACACACACACACACACACACACAAACACACACACACACACACACACATACACACACACACACACACAGACACACACACACACACACGGGGGCTGTAAGCATAAGCATAGACTGACCATGGACTTGGGACCATCCATGCGCAGGAGATGTACGCGCGAGCGAGCTACTCCAACAATACAATACACAAATTTTGTAGGCACCTAAAAAATAGGTGGGTAGAGACGACTTTTGAGGCGCCTCAAAAGCCGTGCACAGGAGATGTACACGCGAGCCACTACAACAATACAATACACCAGCACGACTTTTGAGGCGCCTCAAAAGAAGATACAATACACCAGCATGTGAGTACGGGTAGGTGCAAGAATAGGCAAGGCCACGGCTGTTGTGAAACATGGTGCTACAGACTGGCTGTGCACTGGAGTGGCATGGAGACGAAGCAGCGGGAGGGAGTGCAACAGACTGACCAGGCCGCCCCAGTTGGTGAAGACGCAGTAACTGCCGGTGTTACCGGCGACGGTCTGACGGAACAAGCTGACTTCTGAGTCAACTCAAAAGTCAACACGAAAAGGCAGTGAGAGTGAGAGTGACTGACCAGACCACCCCGGTTGGTGAAGACGCAGTAGCTGCCGACGAGGATGTTGCCGGCGATGGTCTGACGGAACACCTCCACCCCCAACACGTCTGCTATGAGCTCTTCTGTCTCCTGGTGGAGAGAGAGGAGCATGGGGCGAGCCAGACAGAAGACACGGGGCACACGGAAAACACGGGGCAGAGGGAAAACACAGGGCAGAGGGAATGCATAATGAGGCGATGGTCTGACGGAACACCTCCAACCCCAACACGTCCGCTATGAGCTCCTCCGTCTCCTGGTGGCGGGAAGGAGCACGGGCTCCGAAAGCAGAGTGAAGGCCAGCAGCCAGCGGCGCAAGGAAAGCAAGGCTAGCAGGCGGTGGCGCTCAGGGAATACAAGCCAGAGTGAAGGGCTCATGTCACACGTGCGTGAGATCACCCACTGAACAATCCTCATCACTGCACCCATGCCTGGCTTGCGATGGAAGCGCACGGGCAGGCACGCGCACAAGAAACGTGACAGGCAGAACCACATGTATATTGTGAAGGCGTAAGAGCAGAAACGGAAGGTGAGGAGGCGAGTGGGCGCTCAGGGAATACAAGCCAGAGTGAAGGGTTCATGTCTCACAGGTGAGATCACCCACTGAACGATCCTCATCACTGCACCCATGCCATGCCTGCCCTGCGAATCACGTGCAGCTGGGCTTGTCACAGCATGAGCAAGAATCGTGCGATGCAAGCGCAGCACACAGGCAGGGGCACTCGCACAAGAAACTTGACAGGCAGATTCACAAATATCATTTTGTGAAGGCATAACAGGGGGATCGGAAGGTGAGGAGGCGAGTGGGCGGGCGCTCAGGGAATACAAGCCAGAGTGAAGGGCTCATGTCACACAAGGGAGATCACCCACTAAATGATCCTCATCACTGCACCCATGCCATGCCTGTCTTGCGAAGCACATGCATCTGGGCTATGATTGTCACCGACAGCAAACAACAAAGGCATGAGTAATGCACGAAACACAGTGGCCTGTCCAGTTGACCTACTCTGATTGGTTACCTGAGCGTCAGAGAAACCCGTCCAGAACAATATGCAGAAGGGTGAGCTTCATAGTGCAACGATACATGTGAGAGTGAGTGAGTCGAAAGAGAACGTGGGAGATGGCGGGAGTGAGAAGATGTCACTCACACTGTCAAGGAGTGGTGAGTGGGGGGAGGAGTCACAGTCACTCACTCTATCAACGAGTGGTCAATGAGTGGCGGGGTGTTGGTGTGACAATCACTCACTCTATCAAGGTCCGTGTGTCACCATGACTCACTCTATCAATGTGGTGGCGTCACCATCACTCACTCTATCAAGGTCAGTGTGGATGAGCGCCACATAGTCGTTGCAGCTCACACAGTTGCCCAGCGCTGACAGCCGCTCGTCCACGCGCTGCACCACCACCGACTCGGGCAGGGAGTTGCGCATGTGCAGCAGCTCTGATGGGGGAACGAGGGGGGGCCGGGGAATGGGGGGAGCGGGGAGGTTGTGTGTTTGGCGCTGACAGCCGCTCGTCCACTCGCGGCACCACCACCGACTCGGGCAGGGAATTGCGCATGTGCAGCAGCTCTGATGGGGGAGAGTTGAAGGGGTGGGGAGGGGTAGGAGTTCTGGGTTTTGAGTCGACTCAAAGCTCACACAGTCAGGGAGAACTGCGCAGGTGCAGCAGCCCAACGAGGGAACGAGAAAAGAGAGGGGGGGGGGGTGGGGGGGGGAGAGGGGGGGGCGCGGTGGGGAGAGGAAGGTGACGCATGTGCAGCAGCCCGGAAGGGGGAACGGGAGAGGGGTGGGGGGTGGGGGAGGGAGGGAGGGAGGAAGGTGACGCATGTGCAGCAGCATTAAAGGTGCGTGTGCAGGGCGGAGACGCGGAGGGGAAGGAAGGGCGGGGGGGTTTTGCTGGGAGAAAAAATCACGAATGGAGGAAGGAGGTGAGGAGCGAATTTTGTCCGTGGCGCGCAGGCAGGAGGGAGAGGGAGAGGGAAGCCGCGAGATAGAGCTTGCAAAATGAGTTTAAATAAAAGGGCGGAGGAAACGGGGTGAGTGGGAGAGAGGAGTAATTGGGCACGGCGGTGGAAGAGGGAGGGGAAAGGGCATTTGGGTGGAAAAGGCAAGGGCATGATTGACCCCGTCGCCTCTGCGCGCTCTCTCACCTTGATCTGTCGTCGAGTTGGGTAGCAGTAGCCCGTTCTTGTTGCCTGCACGCAACGCAACCATCCAAGATGACACGGAAAGTCAGCACATAAAGCATACAACCCCCAACCAAGGGCGCACACGCGACCCTTAAAGCCCACCCAGAGCCATTCTAAGTCCATCTTAAAGTGCAAAACCTCCAAGGGCGCGCACGCGGCCATTAAAGCCCGCACAAAGCCCTGCTGCACTTGCTGCGCGTGCGCAAACCTCGCCCGCGCACATGAACGCATTCGCGCACTCCTGATTCGCGCGCAAGATCCATCCGCACGCAAGAATCCGTTTGCACATATAAACCCGTTCCCGCACCGAGCCCCTAACTCCCCTCACCCGCGCACATGAGCACTCACCCGCATACATGCGGCCTAGACCACTCACCCGCGCACATGCGGCCGATGATGCGCGTGCCGGCGATGGAGGCTTTAACGACGGGGATGTCGGGCAACTCCGCCTCGAAGACGCTGAAAAAATTCTCCGACGCGCCCACCGCCGTGAGGCAGTACGCGTTAGTGAGCTTCGAGAACACGCCCACCTCGCTGCTGTTCTCGAACTGCGCTCCTGGCCGCGCCGCGCGTTACAGAAGGGGAGATGCGCCGACAGAGGGACGCGGGGACGGAAAGGAACTGGGAAAGAGTCAGTCGTTAATCAGGGAGACAGCCCAGGGGAATAGCCGGGGCCAGCATGTCACTTACGAGATGACTTTGAGTCGACTCAAAAGTCATCAGACGAGGGGAATAGCCTGGGCCAGTATGACACTTACTGACAGCCATATTTGCCAAAGATACGCGCGATGTGACGATGTTATAAGAGCTTCGCAGCTGTACCGACTCTGCTGCGTGAAGAACGACAAAATCGACACCTACGAGCGGTTACAGAGGAGAGAGATTAGCTGCGAAAGGTCTTAGCTGCAGGACTGTTGGAGGAGCCTGCACTGAGAGCGTAAAGACTCGAGG